TCACAGCTAATCTTGGCTAATGAGATTCCTTCTCTTGAATCAAGAAGACAGAAGTACCGCTTGGATTTTTTACATAATCTAATTGACCACAAATTCACCCTAAACTCTTCGCTTTATGTAAGCCCTCTTTCCAGAAGGCAAACACGGCACCATCACTCTGATGCATTAACACCTATCTATGCTAGGACAGACGCGTATAAGCTTTCCTTTATTACACGGACCATTTCAGAATGGAATTCTCTGCCCGCACCGTAGAACTTGTGACAATGGGTGACATGTGCTTTTCTGTACCTTCTTTATGTGCATTCTATCACAATTTTGTTAAGTTATTTTGAATATGTTTGTATAGGCATTTATATATTAGTGTGTATATATGTGTGTGTATATGTGTATGTATATTTGTGTGTGTATATATATATGTATATATGTATATGTGTATATATGTGTATATATATGTGTATGTATATAGATATATATTTATGTTTACTTGTGTATGTATATGCATATGTATGTTTTTAGTTTTGTGTATAATTATGTATGCCTGTCCTGCAAGGACCACGACGTGGTCTGCAGTATGCACTAAATAAATGAATAAATAAATAAATAAATAAATAAATAAATATAGCCCGTGATAGTATTTCGAGCTGGCAGCTGATCAGAAAACACTCGCGTACAATCACATAGCATCAAATGTGCCAGAACGGGACGGAGACATGACTGCCATGGTGACACAGTGGTAGAGCACAGGATGCGTTACTTGAAGGGTGCCGGTTCAGTTCCATGCCTAGGGCAAGTTATCTTATCGTTCATTTTCCGTTATTTCTATTTGCATCACAATTCTAATAACATTGACAATACTTTCCTTGACATGACTATCTGTTCTCTTTATTATACAGTATACGACAGCTGCATGCTTTTGTGATTCTCCCCAAACTACTCTTTCAGTATATGCCGCCTTCAGCAGACGTCTCGTATTCCTTGAGGAACGAAAGTTTTTTGTAGTCGGCTACATTGCACAATAAACCAACAATATAATTTGAAAGTAAAATAATACATCTTCTAAAGAGAAACTATAAGACATATATTCAAATATGTTGATTTATGAAGGGCTTTCTAACCATACGTCATTGATGATTATTCTACTTCATTTTAAAACGTAGAGAGGTTTGTATCAGCCACCGCTAAGAGCGCTAACAACTAAAGTCTCTTTCGTGTACTGGGGAAGAAGAGAACAATGCCTTTTAGTGGTTTTGGCGCTTTACTGCTAACCCCAAGGTCGTGGGACCAATTCCCGGCTGCGAACGCTGTATTATTGATGAAAGCGAAAACGTTTGAGGGAGTGTATTTATTATCAGGGGCAGGTCAAATAATCCTGAGTGGTAGAAATTTCCAGAATTCTTCACTACGATGCCTCTCACAATCATATCGTGGTTAAACCCACACAATAACATGGTATAGGAGTGAAATAGAGAGGGCTGACCGGTTATCACACCTGCATAGTAGAGCGCATTATTCTAGGGAGGCACTGAAGTATCATTTCAAATAAAATAAACTAACGAGTTAAACAACACTACCTGTTTCTTTGTGAGCCAGATACACTTTGAAGGACCGTGCTTTTTCGTGCTGCAGTGTACGCTTTCTTCTACCTCATCACTTTATGGCACTCAGCTTCCGCACCACCTATTTTTGACGCGCCTTCCTCTCGCGTTCGTCTTTGTGTTTTTGCACTCAGCAAAAGACGAAGCATTGAGAACATAATAAATGATCATGCCAGCGTCTGTATTCCCAAAAATTGCGGAATGATTTCTTTGGTTTTCAATGCGAAAGCGACAGTTTCATTATAAGCCACGCCGCAGTAGATAGTACAAGAAATTCATACCATCTGTGCTGCTTGCCGTAAGTCTTTCAGTCGATTGGTACAAATCTGTGTACGCAACTTTTTTTCTGCAAGTTTTGTTCTCTAGTGGCTAAGAAAGGCCAATATGCATCGAGCTTTTGATATCTGTCTCACTCTGAATGAGCCTCTCTCTTTCTATCTTTCTCTTTCAACCTGTCACGTAACAAACTTGTGCCTTCATTCAACTTTATTTCTGCGTTTAGTGTTGTATGTCAACCATTTGATGGAGGCGCCACGATACTCGAGGGGTGCGTCGACAGACTAACCTTTAGCAACCACATCAAAAGTACAATTTTCCTTTGCCCGAAATGAGCACAAAGCGACGGCAAGATTTAACTATACTTCAAGTAAGAGATTAGGATTTATGTATGCGTAAATGACATAAATGGCATTCAGAAAAATTGATATGCAATTATATTTTACCTAAGGCTGAACAAATAATATGAAATACATAAACCAACATAGTTTGATAATATTTTGTTGCAATAATGTATGAAAAGTCCTAAAACAATGGGTAAATTTTAATGAAAAAGGTGTATCAATTCATACGGGGTGTGCGAAAGTTTTCTAGTTCATCTGAGTAAAACAAGTAAGGGCCTCTAGTATTTTCAATATTAGGCAAACCACACGGAGAGAGGTTATTGTGGTGTAACAATTTATTGAGTGAAACATTGCGACACGATGTTAAATGTATATACGAACGTTGTACGCCCCAACACATGTCTAATCGCCACATATGTTCTATTTAAACAGTTATTTACAGGTGCGTAACGGTGCCAACATGGGTACTACCAGCACCAGAAGTGGTAAGCTTATATATAGCACCTGCGCTAGCGAGGATGGTAGCCCTGGCTAGTGCTATGTCGACCAAATTCAGTGGGTTACGCTTCAGTATAATCAAATATAACACGACGTGACCCCTGTAATATACGCGTGCACGTGTAATGTTTAGTAAAGTAAATCAGCACTGAATTTACAATTAACAATTTAGCAATATTCAGGAACACAAGGTGTATTTTCCAAGGCACATACAAGGCGTGGCGTTTCTCTGTGGCGGAATGCTTTATTTTCACCGTAATTTTCACGCATAAAGCTTGGGTTCGGTTACTGCTGGGACACTGATATTTATTCTTTGTATTCGTTTGGTAAGACTACCGATGCCAGTTTCTTTACTTCTCGCATTTGAAAACTCTGCAGATCCCACGTACCCTGGCAATCGATGGTATGCGAAGCGTGCGGGTTGAAGGTGACTGTGTTCAAATTTTGATGTAGAGCGAAACGTTGCTTAAGGGTGCTGAATATTATGCCACGTTCCTTTCCCACTTTCGTTGCTGTCTTGTTGCACTATCAATAATGTTCAACGCAAACCGCATCTATAGTTTTTGAGAAGCTTTAGGACTGTAGTAGATTGCTTTGTTAAGATTTCGTCTAACTCGCGAACATTACATATTATTTTAAAACCTACGTGGTCGCTAGCAATAAATGTGGAGTATTCGACGGCACGTGTATATATGCCGACAAGCTTCTCCGCTTGTCAGCTGATCGACGGCCGAATATCTGTTTTCGCCGTTTTCGGTGCTAGTGTTCATCGTTGTAAGGTTATTTTTGTTGAACAGCCACAAGTTCGGCTCAAATAAACTGTTTCATTTTGAACCTACACACAGTCTATCTTCTCCCCGATTCGACCATTTGAAAATAAGTTGAAATCTACAAACAGACATACGTAACAGCCGCATATATTTTACAGAGGCAATCAGCATTTTAAAGTCCCGTAAGAATGCCAGCAGCAACATAGACATCAGCAACACAACAATACGTAAGCTAATGTGAATCACTGATGCTGGCAAGGATGGTATGCCTGGACACTGCTACATGATCAACTTAAGTGGATGACGCATAATTGACGTTTTAGTAAGACTAATGTTTATTTGAAAACTAGTTCTGAGAACTGGCATGGCTCTGTTGCAAAATACATTATTGCCACGAATAATGCAGGGGATATATGCCAGTTAAGACTGACGTTTACTCTTTGCATTCTTTTGGTCAACGCTGCTGATGTCCGCTTCTTATTGACACACCCGCGGTAAAATTACCCATGTGTGTTCTCGCTGTTCTTGAATAAACTTTCAATCGCCTGTGGCATATACCAGAGTACCGTTGGCATATACCCGCCCGTAGGGAGGTGCCACATGCCTGGTGGAAAGGGTTTCACAATTTAAGTAATGATGCTGAGTAGATATTTATGTTGTGACCAGCAAGTCTCATTCATCAAACCACCTTTCGTTCTTATACAAACTTTGGTTTACCGCGAGGTAATGGGTGTCATGAAAGTAGAAGACGTAAGCGGCTAGATAGATAGATAGATAGACAGATAGATAGATAGATAGATAGATAGATAGATAGATAGATAGATAGATAGATAGATAGACACTGATAAACTCGGCTGCTTTTTTTTTTTTGGGGGGGGGGGGGGGGGCTGAGTGTTGAGACGTAAAGGCGAGACGGAGAAACCTAACCAACGGACGACGCACAAAGCCACAACCAACTTACACATATCTTTCAATTGGTCATGTAAAGGCGAACAAGTAGCTATTAAGCTCACCGCAAGAAGATGCATGCTAAACGCAGAAACTCGCTTACAATGAATTCTGGTGGTGGGCCCTCTTCAATTTTCCCGCATCAAAGAATGTGGCGTCATTGATTTTGAACGGTGTCTAATAGGTGCTAGACAGCTCATACGGGGCAACAATGACGTGCATATTCCTGTGAGTAGGCCATAAAGCTAAAATTTTAGGTTTCAATAAATTTTCTTCAGTAGATGTGGCCGAAGACGTCAGATACAATTTAAAAAGTCATGGCCTGATGCCACGAGGCATTATCCATAAAAAGTTAAAAATGAAAATATAAGTCTGTCTTCCAATAAAAAAAAGGCGTGATGAAAGCATGATTTTAAATTTGATGACACAAAAGTTCTCAGCAAAATATTTATCAATTTTGGCCAATTCACTGTTGAACTGGCGGGTTTCTTAGAAAAACAAAAAAAGTTCAAAAATATGCAGTAAGGTTGATCGTGCAGGTATGATATAACAGTATACTGACATACCTTGATTTAATAACTTCACCTTTACAACACCACACGCATAATCTTGAGTCGTGTACATTAAAGTTTCTTCGGTGGAACCCCACCACACTGGAACAAAATTGAATAGGTCTATTAATATTTCAAGCATAAAACCTACAGATGTGGCATGTTAAAAACTACAGCATTTGCAAATACCAGTGGATTATCTGTGTGTCTTTTATATATATCTTCACTACAATTTGCAACTATGCACTGTTAATATGGAAACTAAGACAGCTTTAGTTTTCATACTTCCAAGTCTTATATTTTCAGGTAAAATCACCTATACATGTTCTTGTCAATATTTGCATGCATCAACCCTCATTTCACAACTGTAATGGGAGAGTAGTTATCTGCGGTAACAGTTATTGCGTGAATAGCTGTATTCTTCAGTTTATTCTAGTCTCCGTGATGCACCTTATTCGAATGACTACAAAATTGATATGATTGTATATTTACGCCTAAGCCATATCCTAAAATCTCCGCCTTATATTTCGTTATGCTTTCATGCCTTTTTGGAATTCATCATTAAGCACCTAGTTATTAGCCATTTTTGTTGTACTAATGATGGCATACAGTATTCCCATAGACATTTTTGCTTGATCGGCGTTATCGATGGTATTTCGTTTTATTATCATTTGGTGAGACCGCACCAAATGAGCGTAGTTTTTTTTCTAAAATGTGGGGCGATGGTCGAAACTGGTCAGATTGAGGATCGTTTTTCACACTCTGCCATGACCTTCAGCCAAGAGCGATTCGTCGCTCTTATAATCAACCTCATAACCGCTTCATACCCTGTATTGCGATTAACCTTACTCTTGCTTGTTCTCAAAATGGCCCACGATAATATGATTTACGCCAGTGACTATACTGCTGTGTGGACAGTGCTATCCGAAAAGCATAACTTTTTTAGGCCATCTTTCTCTGATAGCTACGCAGTGGATAATATTAGGCCACCGCCACTTGACGACTTCCCAATGAAAACACATCACGCCATTTGAGATTACTCCCGTGACACGTTACCGCGTGGGGACCGAGCAGTCAGACGAAACGTGAATGAGCCTGCACTGCTCATTAACTTTAGGCACGACAGAGAGCACCGTTCTTGTTCACCTCAATAACAGTATTGAACGCACTAATGCAAAGTTCTGTTTACTTACATGAACTTGCCTGGATTACAACACCGGGGTGACAAGGAGGTTGCACGGTTTGTGTTAGCAAGGGTTGTGCAACCCTGTTCCGAACGAAGACTCAGCCCAGAAATATCTGCCTATAACTCTAGAGGCAATGTCCATTTGTTTGGTTTCTTTAAATAATTGCTATTAAAAACTCATAGAACAAAGAAGTGAGACATTTGTGGACACAAATTAATAGTAATTATGTTGTGACGAGGTTTTTTCTGAAGATTGTCGTACTTTGCATCACAAAATACGGGGAAGCGAATGCGGCTTTCATGCCTCAGTCAAGTTCTCTTCCCTGGGTGATGACATATCCGACAATGTTCTCTTTGCAGCGCCGTGTTAGTAATCACTGACGGCATTGAGATACTTCAGGGACCTCGGTCTTGGTACTTGCATGATATATTCATTGCTTTCGCGCCCTTCAAGCTTTCCATTGCACTAATTTGTTACCACATTTTATCAACCCTAACCACCACACAGACCAATAGGGCTAGTTCTGCTAGAAATAAATATATATATTACCAGCTTGTATAGGTTCTTGCGTTGCTTTATGATAAATCTTTCGACACTGTGTAAATTTCAGTATGCATGAAATTTCAAATGTTTTAAAGGGTCATCAGTCACAGAAGAGCTCAGTGGTGTTTTGAGAGTTCCCTATTTTCCCAATAGTAGGCCTGATGAAAAGTGGTCATGAACACTTAAGCTCGATGAGACACCGAGGCCTCGTTCTTTGGAAGTTTATCTATATAAACGCGTAAGTGTTTGGGAATTTCATTTGAAAAATTACAGCGTCGGATTCGACAGAAGCATCGTCGATTTTGAGTGCAAAGGCATCACCTTGTGCGTTGTTCGAAAATTGTGAAGAAGCAAATGCAATGATTATTAAATATCTCCGAGTCTGAGTGAGGATCGAACTCAGTCCGTCTGCTTAGCAAGCCGGTGTTCTACGATAGCGCCACGAGAAAAGTAGGAACTGCTTTGATAAAAAGCATTAAATGATGTGTATGGTGTGAAAGAAGTCCTGTTAGCGCTTGTTATGTTGCGAGGCAGAAGCGTTGAATCGCGTCAGACGTCAAAAAATATTATTGCTTCAGAGGAAAGATGCCAAAAAGAGCAAGTGAGCAATGAGGCGTTGTTACAAAGACCCGTCATAAATCAACGACCAATGACAGCAGAAACCGTAATTCTGACCTGAGAGGTCGTCGCGGGCGAAGGCGATGCAGACAGTGCCTAACTTCTTGAAGAGATAAGACTAGCACCGATGGTGATAGACATCTTGACGACATTATAGTTGGGAGATGAGTTCCTTTCGGACTCTTTTCTATTTTGAAAACTCCCCCAACTTTTACCCCAGCGTAAGTTTGTATACCGGTCCTTCTAGACAGGCAATATTCCTGCAATCTCTGCCTTTCATTTCTTTCTTGTTCTGTCTTTCCTGCCCAGCTCAATTTCTATAGCAGCCTCGTGCGATTTTGTAATTTTTGCAAACCAGTCTATCTGTCTTATTAGGCAGTCGTTATCTTGCCTTCGTGCTACATGCCCCCTTATCTTTCGTTTGCACTACGCGTTCCGTGAGCATGCTTTCCATGTCCACTTCCTGCGCATTTCGACTGAGATGAGTCTAACAGCCATTTTTTTCCTCTAAAGCATCCGGCTGTCTTCTTGTCCCTTACACCACTTCAATATGATTGCCTAAACAGAAAAACAAAAACAGCCGAGGCTATTACAGTTTGCGCGAATCGAAGGCGCTCTCGACTGTTAGAATTTGCATGTTTTTTTTTTCTTATCATCAGCGTTCTCAACCTTAGTGCTTATGACGGAAAGTATTCAGCCAAAAGATATTTTTGTATTGGTAAACTGTGTATGCAAATGTGAGATTTCCTTTGGTGTTTGCATAATGCGCACAAATATCGAGTGCTTGAGTCACTGTTTTACAAGGTCTCATCTCTACAGACTCGTCCACTTCAGCGTAGAGCATGCAAGCAGCCATCTTCAGCCACTAAGCTATGGCGATTCATTGTTCTACAGTCTGTTCTTAATTACTTGTTTGGACAGTTCTTGTAGCACCTGTATGTGCCAAGCTTTTTTTTGGGGAGAAAAATGGTTGACTAAGTGCATTACGTTGGGTCACAATGCGAGCGCTGCAAAAAATACTTGCTATGAATGTAGATGCTTATTTTGCTGGCTAGACATCATCTTTTGTACTGGCCGGAGTGTGTTGACGTCCACATTGTCATCAGAATTTATCATAGTGTACATATGTAATGTTCTTCGAAATAACCTAATGTGGGTGCTTTTAGGTAGATCTATATGCCTTTGAAAGAAGCACATGCACTTCACTTTCGGCATTCTTCTTCTGAATAGCTGATCGCTTTAGAGAAGAAAATTGATTAAGAGGAGCATATCTTTTTAAATAGAAGCAGACTGCACTACAAAGGTGTTGACATCAAAGGAAATGCAAAGAAAATAAATGCATTTGGTTCACCATTGGTTGTGACATTCATTAGTTGAGGGTGTCTGGAATCAAATGCTCCAAGAAAGCGAATGGTGTGCCTGGAAACGAGAAAGGTATTCAGTCCTTCATAATAACACGCATGGGCAGAAATTCAATATCTGAACAAAAAATGTCACCTACGTTTGCCGGACAAGAAGGTCTCGTTATATATAACTTTGTGGGGGCTTATGTCATACATTAGAAAATATTTGCAGCGAAAGTTTGTTGGTTTCGTGGTTTTAATTGTCCATATCCGCTGAGACGTACTGAAAAACTGCAAGAAGCAAACAAAAAGACGGGAACAAAGGCATGTCCTCGTATTGATCAGGTTCCTTAAGCTATCAAAACTTTTCTGCTGAACAATGATTCTTCCAGAAGTTCCTCAGTACTTTGTCCATGAGCCTATTCAGCCCAACGACCACATTACACATCCTTAATGGATTATCAATAAATTTACATCAATCTTCATATATTCAGTCTTATTTCATTTTTCGTGCATAACGATCTGCCATAAATTTCCCCAGACGGCCATTGAGCTCAAGTAGTTGTCAGGCCACACTAAACTAATGCCGTTATATGCAAAATATGAGCATAATACTCAAAGCTTTTGACAAGGTTTGCTTACAATAAGGCACGGCCTTTGTCGAGTGCTGAAATATTAGATGCATTATTGTACAACCCGGTTTTCAATAAGTGCAAGCAATTACTTTTGACCAGATGTGTCTGCATTTGATGGAGGCGGAAATGTTATAGGCCCGTGTGCTGAGATTTGGGTACACTTTAAAGAACCCCCGGTGGTCAAAATTTTCGGAGCCCTCCACTACGGCGTCTCTCATACTCATATGGTGGTTGTGGGGCGTCAAACCCCATATATCAATCAATCACATCAATCAATGGGTCTGCATTTGAGCGCATAACTCAGACTGAAAGTGTCACTCACCTGCCTCATTATGCAGACATTCTCAGAATGTTTCGAAAAGAAGCGCGCTGAATGCATTGCGTTTGCTACAAAGGTAACAATTAAAACTACCAAAACGTGCTTATACATCACTCTACTGGTTATGTCTCTCAGCGAGAATGCGAGACGGACACTATACAAAACTGTCGTGCTATTTACTTGATAACCTATTGTGTCCCAGCGAAAAACACATTCTACCACCATTCCATTGTTTTCTACCTGTTAAACAATAGCTAAAGCAGTGCGATGCCAGGCCAGCATTACTTCGTCTTTTTATTATGCTGTCATGCATTTTCTAAATGATGTGCTTTGGTTCTTATTGATGAGAATAGGTGCATTCTGAATAACAAAATTAGTAATAAATAGAAAGTGTTTGCGATTTCTGTTATAATAATTGTGCAGCTTAGTTGTGTTTGAACAATTGAAACAGTTCATTCTCACCACGAACGCGAGGCAATGTTAAAATCCATCTTTGTAAGAAGAACAAAAGTACGCACGGGCAGCAAGAAAGAGGCGACACAATAGCCTAAGTTCAACTAAATCCTTATTTGGAAAAGCAAAAAAGATAATTTACGGTTGGTCACCCGGTTTTCCACTGCAATGATTTTAATTGTGTGGTGTATTTTTCTAACATGCGCATTTGATATGACGACCGAGATTTATTTACCTAATTTATAGTTTAGGCTGCAAAAATAAACGTTGTGAAGAGGTTTATTAGTCGTTAAGGGCAGCGCCGAGGCAGCGTGAAGAATCGTCTAAAGATCGGCACAGCAGCGAAGCGAAGCACGAGCCGAGAGAGCCGGGCGTGGGGGTATACTTGTAGGCACATCTTCTTCCTCACAATCACCCCCGCTGAAAAGAAGTCACACTGGCGACCTAAGAAACTTCAGGAAGAGGCTCACGGTACGGTTTCAGGCGGGAAACATGGACGATGTCACGTGCATGCCGGCGCATGTTGTTTGATCGGGAAACTGGCCTAATAAAGAAATTCACCGGAGAGGTTTTCTCCAAAACGGTGTAAGGCCCCTCGTACTGGGGGACAAGTTTCGAGGAGAGTTACGGAGTTTGGTATGGGATGGCGAGCCACACAAGAGACCCTGGGGCATAGCTGGGATCTGGAAGGAGGTGGTGCTGTTTTCTTTCTCGTTTTGCTGCTCCTCCGAGGTGAACGCACGGGCGAGTTGGCGCCTCTCTTTGGCTTGTCGAGCAACCTTGGAGGGAGGTGGATACTAGAAAGCATCAGGATGATAGGGAAGTAGAGTATGGGAAAGCCCACGTCCATTAAGAATAAAGAAGGGGGAAAATCCTGTGGTTGTTTGTATTGCAGTGTTATACGCAAATGTTACGCATGGGAAAACACGGTGCCTGTTGCTATGATGAGATGCCACGTACCTTGAGAGCATATCGCCCAGCGTGCGGTTAAACCGTTCCGTAAGCCCGTTAGTCTGCGGGTGGTATACTGTGGGTGTCCGATGAATGACATGGCATTCCGAAAACGGAGCTTCGATGACCTCGGAGTGGAAATCGCGCTCACTGTCACTAAGGAGCTCTCTAGGAGCGCCATGTCGAAAGATACAGCAATGTGAAATGGAAGAGGCGACATCCAGAGCGGTAGCGCTCGGCAAAGCGGCTGTTTGAGAGTACAGTCAAGATATAGTGATGACAAGGCCTTGAACAAGTGTTTCCGCACGTCGGATCTGGTGACAAAGATTAGCGAGACAGGGCGTCAGCGTTAGAGTGCGACAAGAGTTATACGACGTGAATGTCGTACTGCTGGATGCGGAGTGCCCATCGCGCAAGGCGGCCAGAAGGGTCTTTCAACGTCGAGAGCCAGGAAATCGCGTCGTGATCAGTTACTAGATCGAACAGGCACCCGTACAATTACGGCCGAAACTTCCCAAGTATTGACACCTGAGCCAAACACTCTTTTGTTGTCACGCTGTAATTAGCGTCGGCTTTTGCCAGAGTACGGCTAACGTAGGCTACAACGTGTTATGAATAGCCGGGCTTTTGTTGAGCGAGGACAGCGCCTAACTCAATGCCGCTGGCATCGGTGCGCACTTTAGTAGGAGCCGTCGGGTTGAAGTGGTGAAGAATAGTGGAGAGGTGAGCAGACGGCACAGAGTACAGTGAAGGCAACGTTACATGCAGGGGACAATGAGGAGAGGTTCACGTCACAGCGAAAAAGTTGGGTTAATGGAGACATGATGAATGCAAAATTGCGAACAAAGTGCCGGAAATAGGAGCGTAGGCATACAAAACTGCGAAGTGCCTTCATAGTCGTTGGCTTGGGAAGTTCTGCGACTGCTCGAAGTTTTCCTGGGCCACGTATTACGTCGTGCTTGCACTCGAAGTGGCCTAGGATGACGAGCTCCCGTGCAGCGAAGCGGAATTTTTTTCGGTTAACGTGGAAGCCAGTGTTGGTCAGACAAGTAAAAACATGCCCGAGGTGAAGGAGGTGCGTAGTAAAGTCCCACGAGAAAAGCATGACATCTTCTAGGTAACAGAACCACATATTCTGCTTGAAGTCACGTAGCGTATTATCCATAAGTCGTTCAAACGTGGCAAGCGCATTACAAAGCTGAAAGGGCATGACGTTAAACTCGTATGGTTCGTCAGGTGTATAAACTGCAGTTTTTTGGCAATCGGCTTCAGGCATTGGAACTTGCCAGTAGCGAGACCACAAATCTAGTGACAAGAAGAATTCTGCTCCGTCAAAGGTGTCAATGGCGTCATCAATGCGCGGCAAAGGGTATACATTCTTGCGGCTTATATCATTTCAACGACGATACTCAACACAGAACCGGATAGATCCGTCTTTCTTACGCACCTGGACGACAGGAGACACCCAAGGACTGTGAGATGGTCGAATGACGTTTCTAAGAAGCATATCTTCAACTTGATCGTATTAGGCGGCGTTTTTCAACGGAGACATGATATGGTCTTTGATCCAGTAGCTGGGGTAGGTCGGTGTGAACATGATGTTCGACTTGCGACTTTTGGCTCAGTTGGGGTTGTGACACATCGAAAGAATTCCGGAACTCATGCAGAAGATCAAGTAGGTCAGCATGTTCGGTGGGAATGAGGGTGTCGGCGATGGTGCTGGACAACGTATGCTGGGACGACTCTACGAGTGCCGATCGTGCTGTTAGGTGGTCACAGTAGTCATCCGGGGCTTCAACCAAAGACGAAATGTCGAGATTCGGCACGCGGCTGAGAGATTTCCCTGGACAAGTGCCGAAAGCGGATTGAGTACGAACATGTTGCTGTTTGCGGTGGCAATGTGAATCGCCGCGAAAGGCAGCTGCAGAGCTGGACGACTCGTAAAGATATCGGAAGGCATAAAAAAGAATTTAGCGCCAGTGTATGTGTTGCACGAAACAGGAAAGAGAGCGAAATTTCCAGGTGGAAAGTCGGTATCTCCACGAACGAGCAACTTCGGCGGCTGATGAAGAGCGTCAAGTAATGGGACGTCACACAAGAGGGAAAACTCAACTTCAACGCGTGCGCAGTCGATAACGCATCACGGTGGGATAGGAAGTCCCACCCGAGGATGACGTCATGTGAACAGACAGCAAGGACAATAAACTGCGCTATGTAAAGAGTGCCTTCGATGGACACTCTTGCAGTGCAGGCTGCGAGAGGCGTTACTTGCTGTGCGCTTGCGGTGTGGAGCGAAAGACCTGAAAGCGGCATTGTGGCTGTGAGAAATAAACGGCAAAGATTAGCGGCTACAACAGAAACAGCGGCGCCGGTGTCAACAACGGCAAAAGTATGTGACCTTTAACAGTTACTGCGACCACGTTAGCAGGAGAGGAGCGAGGGCTTAGACACTTTGAAAAAGGCACAGTTCTTGCCTCTTGAACTACGGTGCTTAGTTTTCCTGAGCGGAGGGTCCGGGCGGGCGACGAATGGGGGAGGGTGATCGCCGACGAGGATAGGGTGCGTGCGGCGTAAGGAAGTCAGGGTCCTGAGTAGGGGCATTGCGAGGTGATGAGACTGGCCCGTATTGGGCGAAGGGTTGGCTGCCAGCTTGCGACGATCGCTCATAGTCGCCGAACGTCTGAGGTTGACGGCAGCCGTAGCGGGCGACGTGTCCGT